AGTAGAGCTGATTACAATAATGAGGCCATATTGTTTGAGTCAGTGTCAGGAGCCTGACTTCCCATTTTCCTCTTTAGCAGGTGCCTATCCCAGGTCTCTGCACTACAAGCATTTCTTTGCACTTCATGCATTTCTTTGAATTATCTACTGCCTCCTTTTCTCCTAGAGCATTTTTAAAGCCTCTAATCTATAAAGCCCCTCAGGCATTATATAATTTAACAAATGTGTTTCTGTAACACTGAGATGTAAGCCTAGTCTTAACTCCATGCAGTTTTACCTCTGCCTAGGGAATACCAGTTCTATTTCAGTATAAATCTGGGAAGGAACAATGGGTCTCCATGTTTTCCCATGGTTGCACGTTCTAAAACAATTCCTTTAAACCATGGTTTCACAATCCTGGTGCTGTTGATGTAGGGTGGGGGTGGGGGAAGCTAGCCCGTGCATTATGCAGTGATTAGCAGCAACCCTGGCCTTTCTACACTAGATGACAAACACCTCCAACCCCTTTGAACAGTGACAACCAAACATGTTTCTGGACATTGCCAAATGCCCTGGAAGACACAGTTGAGAACTGATGTTTCTAGTACAGATGCATAGACAATGATCTCATAATTTTGATACTCGCTTTCACTTTGAATTATGGCATCATATGACAGAGAATCTGGGTCAATAGTGGGCTTTTCCTACTTCAACACTTCACAATGTCATTTCTTTTTGTTTTGGCCTCCACTGTTTATGAAGAAGACTTTAGTGGCCATTGCAATAACAATAAAAATAAACAAATGAGACTTAATTAAACTTAAAGCCTTTTGCATAGCTAAGGACACAACAATCAAAGCAAATAGACAACCTTCAGAATGGGAAAAGATACTTGCATGTTATGAGCTGACAAAGGCTTGATAACTAGGATCTATAGAGAACTCAAATTAAGCAACAAAAAAAGACCAAACAATCCCATCTATCACTGGGCAAGAGACATGAATAGAACCTTCTCTGAGAAAGATAGATGAATGGTTAACAGACATATGAAAAAATGCTCATCACCCCCAATCATCAGAAAAAGATAAGTCAAAACCACTCCGAGATATCACCTAACCCCAGTTAAGATTAGCCTACATCACAAAGTCCCAAGGTTGCAGATGCTGGTGTGGATGTGGAGAGAGACGAACACTTTTACCCTGTTGGTGGGCCTTTAAACTAATAAAGCCTATTTGGAAAGATGTATGGAGAATTCTCAAAGAACTCATATTAGACCTCCCATTTGACCGAGCAATCCCACTACTAGGCAACTAAGTAGAAGAAAAATAATTTTATTACAAGGACATAAGCCCTAGATTGTTTATCATAGTTCAATTTACAATCACCAAGATGTTGAAACAAACTAAATGCTTGTCAACCCAGGAATGGATTCTTAAACTTTGGTATGTGTATACCATGGAATACTATTCAGCCACAAAAAGGATGGTCACTTTGCCTTTTTTGTATTAACTTGGATGGAAGTGAAACATATTTCTCTTAGGAAAGTATCACAAGAATGAAAAAGCAAATATCCAATGTATTCAATACTAATATGAAGCCAGTAGATGATCTAATTCATGCCCACAGAGGAGAAAAACTCATTTCAATTTGAGATGGGGGGAAGGAGAATCAGGGAGGGAGAAGAAGAGAGGAGGTGGAGTTGGGGTGCTTCCACTTAATGGGAACAATGTAGGGATACCTTGTGGATCTACCTTTTGGATGTGGGACACAACTACAAGAGGGACTCTACCCAAGAAATTCAAATAATGTGATTTGATTCTTTGTACCCTCACATTAACCTGAAATTAAAAAATATATAAATATATCACAAAGTTACAGTGTGGCTAAAAGGACAGGAACAGAAGACAACTATATGCTGTCTACAAGTAACTTCTTTATGTTTAAGGACACACAGAGGCTGAAAGCAAAAAGAGGGATCAGATACACCATATCTTAGATTTAAAGTCTATTTAAGTCAAAAACGATAATGAAAAACAAAGAAATACTTTATATAATGATAAAAGGATTAATATATTGAAGATATAAAAATTATAAATACATATACCTAACATCAGAGCACTTAAACGTACAAAGTAACTATTGACAGGACTGAAGGGAGACATAGACAGCGATACTATTATGGTATGAGACTTCAGTATTTCATTTTCAGTAATGGATGACATTCAGACAGAAGATCAATAAGGAAGCAGAGTACTTGAAAGACACCATAGACCACTATGTGCTAAGTATCTTTACTGACACAGTAGTGTGAAACTAGACATCAATAGTTGAAGGAAAACGGGAGCAATCGCAAATATATGGAACAATATATTCTTGAACAAGCATTGAGTCATAGAATAAATCAAAAAGAAAACTAGAAAATGCCTCAACAACAAACAAAAAATGAAAATGTAAACTACCAAAGCGTATGGGCTTGGTGCCCGTCGCCCAGTGGTTAGGGTTCTGACCACATACACCAGGGCTAGTGGGTTCAAACCCAGCCTGGGCCAGCTAAAAAACAATGACGACAACAACAACAACAACAACAACACACCTGGGTGTTGTGGCAGGCACTTGTAGTTCCAGCTACTTGGGAGGCTGAGGCAAGAGAATCGCTTAAGCCCAAGAGTTTGAGGTTGCTGTGAGCTGTGATGCCATGGCACCCTACACAGGGCAACATAGTGAGACTGTCTCAAAAAAAAAAAAAAATAACCAAAGCATATGGGAAAGCCAAAGCAGTATTAAGAGGGAAGTTTATTACAACAAATGCCTATATTACAAAGAAAGAAATATCTCAAATAATCAACCTAACAAAGTGAGACTCTGTCTCAAAAAGAAAATGTATTATAACAGAACAATTTTCAAGAGTAAATTTTTCCATTTCTGAAGCATGCTTGTTCTTATTTAGTAAACACATTTATCCATATTCTATAAAAGAGAAATTTTGTTTCCAGAGCTTTTGTTAACAGCAAAGATATTAATCATTAGAATAAATTACATCTCAGGAGATCTTTAATCTCATTTACAAATCTAAAGTATTGGTTGGGCTTTGAAAATTAATACAAAATATCATTAAGCTTAACTGGGCAGTAATAACTGTAGAGGTGAAAAGATAACTATGAAGAATACCCTAGGACTAGCAGGCATGGTGGCTCACACCTGTAATCCTAGCACTCTGGGAAGCGGAGGTGGCTGCATAGCTTGAGCTCAGGAGTTTGAGACCAGCCTGAGCAGGAATAAGAACTCCCCTACTAAATTTAGAAACAAACAAACAACAACAAAAAAAACTAGCCAAGCATTGTGGCCAGCGCCTGTAGTACCAGCTACTGGGAGTTGAGTCAAGATGATCTCTTGAGCCCAAGAGTTTGAGGTTGCTGTGAGCTATAATGTCAGCACAATCTATCCAGAGCCACAGGAGACTCTGTCTCACAAGAAAAAAAAAAAGTAGGACACAGACTCCTAAAGTACCTGAAATATATTTCTAAAAATGATTCATTATTCCCACTGTTTGAAATAGCAGAATGGAGAGAATTTTCCATTGAAAATGCTTCATATTTTGGGGTGTGGATGACAGGGGGTGAATAATCAGGTGAACTTCATATAACTGTGGATAGATAAAATAGAGACAAAGGTTAATAGCAAGTCTAGTTGGTGGTTAAAAAAATGTTCACTGCTTCACCCATAAATGAAAAAAAAAATTCACTGTAAAATTCTTTAAACTTTTTGAATGTGGTGGGAATGTAAACTAATATGTTCCGTTTGGAAGGACATCTGGAGAACACTTAGAGAACTAAAAATAGATCTGCCCTTTGACTCTGCAATTCCTTTATTAGGTATATACCCAGAAGACAAAAAATCACATTATAACAAAGATATTTATATCAGAATGTTTATTGCAGCCCAATTCATAATTGCCAGGTCATGGAAGAAGCCCAAGTGCATTGATCCACGAATGGATCAACAAACTGTGGTATATGTATACTATGGAATACTATGCAGCCATAAAGAAAGATGGAGACTTTACGTCCTCCATGTTCACATGGATGGAGCTGGAAAATGTTCTTCTTAGCAAAGTATCACAAGAATGGAAGAAAAAGTATCCAGTGTACACACCCTATTATGAAATTAATTTATAGCTTTCATATGAAAGCTATAACCTTATAACAGCCTAAGAATATGGGGAGGGAGGAGGGAGAGGAAAGGGGGGAATGGGTGAAGGGAGGGGGATTGGAGGGATCACTTCTGTGGTTTATCTTACAAGGGTACAAGTGAATCTTTCTAAGAGTAGAACGTTTTAACACAATAACTAAGAAAATGACATGAAGGCTATGTTAACCAGTTTGATGGAAATGTTTCAAATTGTATGTGAAAACACCACACTGTACCCCAGAAGTGCATTAATGTACATAGTTACCATTCAATTAAAAAAAAAAAAACTTTTTTGAACGTTAAAAAATTTTCATGACGAAGTGTTGGGAAATTTCAAATGAACTCTACACATAACATCCGTGTGTTATAATGTATGTTAATCATACTACCCCCCCCCCCCCAAATTAACTCAGAACTGAGGATGGGATAGGTTAAAAACGAAAGAGAAGGAAAAAACAATTTATTGGATCATACATCTGGTTGTCCTGGGTAGAAAATTACTTTTCCTTTGCTTGAAACAGCTTCTCTTGAATGGGTAAAAACTGGCCTCGGTCCAGGCAGCTTGGGGCTGCTTTCTTCAATAACGCTTCTCTCTGCCAGAACAGACCTTGGTCTCTTTCTCTTACTTTCCGCAGAGCTAAGCCTAAGAATCCACCCGCAGTCCCAGCTCCTACAGTTTCCGGGATGGCGGAGAACAAAGAAACCCACACGCGCCAAGATGCCCCTCTGAGCGGCCCCGCCCCAGACCCTGCTCACTTGCCCCGCGCCTTAAGCCCCGCCTCTCCACACGTCCCGCCCCGCTTCTTCCAACGTCCCGCCCCCCACCGTCGGACGCCTGGTTTGATGGCCTCTGCTGCCGTTGCTCCGGTCACTCAGCAGGTCAGCGGCTGCGCGGCCCCGGCTCCGGGCCCGGCCCTGAGTGGCCCCGAGCGCGGGCAGCCCCTGGCGGCCTCCGTGGCCGAGCTGCCCGTGCAGGATGCCTCCGGCAAGCGAGTGCCGTTCGGCGCACTGTTCCGAGAGCGCCAGGCCATCGTGGTTTTCGTGCGGGTGAGCGCGGGCGGCGGGGCCACCTTGAGCAGTGACCTCACCTACTGGCTGGGATAAGGGTTGTTACCACAGCCTCAGCTCGGGGAGCACATCGGGTCCCTCTGGGGGCCTGGGCCGGAGAACGGTGCTCGGTAGGCTTGGCCCTTCCCTGTGGTCCTTGAGAGGCTTCTGGGATGCGAGCCACTCCTCACGCTTCCTCTGACCGGGATGAGAAAACAACTGCTTGGCAGGCCTTTGTTCCAGCAAACTGAGCTGGTAGTAAGGACTGGGTGCGGCCCGCTTTTAATGCGCTTCGAGGGCCCTTGACACCTTTTTCCACATCTCAGATGTTGAGTTTATTCGTATGAGGCATGGAGTGCGTGGTTCCTTCTGGACCCTGAGAGTGCTACCTCGCTAACTTGCCCTTTTTTGCCTTATTGCCTTTCAGCATTTCCTGTGTTACATCTGTAAAGAATACGTGGAAGATCTGGCCAAAATCCCTAAGAGTGTATTACAAGTGAGTTTCCTTAGAGTGAGCAGCAGAGTGCTGGCTTCCAGGAGACTTTGTGGTAGTGTCATTTATAAGAAGTGCAGTGGGGTGAGGAGTACATGGTTTCCAGCCCTGGCACTGGCACTCGCAGACCCAGATATTCACTATCTCGCGCTTATATTAAAAAAAAAAAATAATTTTCACTACTTCTTTCAATACCTCCAAAAAGAGAGATTTATTTCCATCCTCATTTTTCGTTGCTGGCTGCCTCTAAAGGTACTAACAACCATAATAATAATTTTGACGCTGCCTGATAACTTAACCTATTCTGAAATGTTGGGTGAAAATGCCCAAAAGGAAATGCTGGAAATTATTGATATTTTCTTTCCTTTGTTTTTGTTATGCTCCAAATCGTTGTTCATTATAGTAAAATACCCATATATCTTAAATGGTACAAATTTGCATTTGTTAATAGACTGCAAGTTCCATGTTCCTAGGACAACCACATAACCTGCTTTTCTTTAGACGCAGATAGGGTTGTTCCACGTGAGCTTTTTGAGTTCAGACACAGAGCAAACTGAAATCTGTTTCAGCAGTCCTTATAAATTGGGATGTGGAAAAAAATTGTTAAGTAACTCGAATTTTGTAGTCTTTTCCTTGGGGGGGATATAGAGAGGTTTTGTGGGGGAGTTTTTATTATTTAAGAAATAAAGTGTTACTCTGTCACCCAGGCTCCAGTACAGTGGCATGATTATAGCTCACTGCAGCCTCCAACACTTGGTCTCAAGCAATTCTCCCACCTCAGCCTCCAAAGTGCTGAGAATACAGGCATGTGCCACCAAGCCCAGCTAGAATTATTGACTATATTGCTTTGAAAAAACTTTTGACTATACCTTTGCATTTCCTTTTATTCTTTTTTTAAAAACTTGGCAAATGATAATTATACATATTTACTGGGTACAATGTAATGTTTTGATATACATTTATAATGTAGAATAATCAAGTCAAGCTAATTAATATATTCATCAGGTCACACAGTTACCTTTTTGTGTCATGAACATGTAAAAACTAGTATTTCATCAATTTTGAAGTATTCATTATTAACTCTAGTCACTCTGCTTAACAGTAAATCTCTAAAAGTTATTTCTCTTGTCTAATGGAAACTTTGTGCCCTTGGAACAACACATTCTCATTCCTCTTTCCTTCCTCCCCCAGTCTCTGATAATCATTATTCTACTATTTCTGTGAATTCCACTTTTTTATAGTCTACCTGTGAGATTATGCAGTGTTTATCTTTCTGTGTCCAGCTTATTTCATTTAGCATAATGTCCTCAAGCTCATCCAGGTAGTCCCCCAAATTTTTTATGGCTGAGTAGCTTTCCATTGTGATGCCACATTTTCTTTTCTTTCTTTTTTCTTTCATTCTTTTTTTTTTTTTTTTATTAAATCATAGCTGTGTACATTAATGCAATCATGGCATACAATGTGCTGGTTTTATATACAATTTGAAATGTTTTCATCAAACTGGTTAACATAGCTTGGGTAGCACCTGTGTCTCAAAGGAGTAGGGTGCTGGCCATGCTGGAGGTGGTGGGTTCAGACCCAGCCCCGGCCAAAAAAAAGAAAAACAAACAAACAAACAAACAAACAAAAAAGAACTGGTTAACATAGCCTTCACGGCATTTTCTTAGTTATTGTGTTAAGACATTTATATTCTACACCTAGTAAATTTTACATGTACCCTTGTAAGATG